TTAAAGTTACGGCGAGTATTTTGCACATTGTTAACTTATTATAAGTTTGTTTGTTTGTCTTTAACTATGCACAAAGCTACACAAGGGCTATCTGTGGTCTGCCCACCACGATTATCGAAACCCGGTTTCTAGCGTTGTAAGTCCGCAGACATGCCGCTATGCCACTGGCAGGCAATTTATTATAAGATTATATTATCTTACACATTGTTAACTTATTATATGATGACGATGATTTTGCACATTATTAACTTATTATATGATGACGATTATCTTGCACATTGTTAACTTATTATAAGATGACGATTATCTTGCACATTGTTAACTTATTATAAGATGGTGATTATCTTGCACATTGTTAACTTATTATAAGATGACGATGATTTTGCATATTGTTAACTTATTATAAGATGACGATGATTTTGCACATTGTTAACTTATTATATGATGATGATTATCTTGCACATTTTTAACTTATTATATGATGACGATGATTTTGCACATTGTTAACTTATTATAAGATGACGATGATTTTGCATATTGTTAACTTATTATAAGATGACGATGATTTTGCACATTGTTAACTTATTATATGATGATGATAATTTTGCACATTGTTAACTTATTATAAGATGACGATGATTTTGCACATTGTTAACTCATTATATGATGATGATGGTTTTGCACATTGTTAACTTATTATATGATGACGATTATCTTACGCATTGTTAACTTATCATAAGATGACGATTATCTTGCACATTGTTAACTTATGATAAGATGACGATTATTTTGCACATTGTTAACTAAGTATGTGCATTTTTAGGACTAATCTAAATATCCTAACTTGGCTGAAAATCGTAAAAATAGTATCGTTGCGTCAGCGAGTTCACGTGACTAGTGTCACGCCACCTATTTTCTAGAAATATCCTGTTCCTTCGTGAATGCCCTAGCAGCGACACAAGTCTTTACTTAATAAAACTGGTTTATTCTTTCTGAATATAACTTTACCGATACACTTATTTTCAACAGTCGCTCTATAACAAACGTTTTAACAACGAACGTTAACTTCAACAATACTTTCTGACTGCAGTTCAATTACTCACTACCTACACACGTCATCTCGTCACGTTGTGAGCGTCTTATATATATACCAGACAAACATATATCTAGTAAATTTCACGTGTCTTGACTGTTTACAAAGCCCGTATTAAGTAAGTTTGATTATTTAGGATTTTCAGTAGAAATTCTTTTAACCTTTCTCATTATACACTCAGTTCTAAATCTATCAAACAACACCTATTCTATTGTACAATTGTGAACAAACCATAACGTGCAGTTGGATATAATGATGGTCGTTTTATCTGACCTGTCATCTGGTGGAGAGATGCTGAAGTTTTATCATATTTTGTATTTGTCAGTTGACATTTTTATCGTACAATGACAGCATGTTCTACTGGTCTATTCACATTATTGAGGTTTGGCTATCTGTGTTAAATTAAATTAAATAGTACCCACAAGTTTGGTAATTTTTGACTACATGTGGATTGAGTATCCGTGTTAATGAGATTAAACTACTAACATATTGTTACGCCTCCAGTCGTTAATTGATTTTCCGTAACTTCGTTCCGACGAAACTTTAACTGTGCTATTATTTTATTTGTTTTCAAGTACTTTGGTAGTCTAGCTCAAAGGATCCGTAACCACTATAAAGTAACTCATTGTTATATCTTGACACCAAGTTTGACTTCTTACATGACGTCAACACATCCTTTCAAGATTTAATGATTTTATCAAACCCAAAAACTGCCGCTCCAACTAAAGTTCTTGCTATTGTATCAAAAACACAACATCTCAAGACATTCTCCCTTCTATCAAATCAATCATAATTATGTCCTTAAATATAGCCAAAGAACAACACCTAAAGATAAGTTCCCTCTATCAAAAAAGAAAAAAATACAACCCTCAGAATTAATTCCCTTCTACCAAACAAAACTTAACCCTCAGAATTAGGTCCCTTTTACCAAACCACCCAAGACTGGATTATATAATATTTTATATTATATAAAAATGAAATTATATTTCTTCTATCAATACACTCATGTTTTAACTCCCTTTCATCAATCCAAAACACGCACACTAAACATTAAGTTAATCTCAGAAACCAAAACACGACTTCCAAAATTAAATACTTTACAAAAACTCCGAGAACATCGTAGTGTTTATAGCTGAAGAAATATAACGTTCAAGAGTTCATGAAATTAACAAGGATAAACATAACATGATAAACGTTGTTGTTTTGTGACAAGTGATAAATAATGTAAAACACAACTTGGTAATAAGATCTACTGGATTTACGAGAAGACATGAACGTCCGTTAATCAACATTAGGAACAAGTGTACGTAAATATCCAAGCGGGAAAAATAATCAGTCTTACGAGGCTTATGTCAGCCGCTTATAACCGTGCTGATAAAGCAGAAATATTTTCACGAACCTTGGTTACTATGTACATCAACAGAAAACGTATCTTATACTGTGTTTACTGTAAAATCACTTGCTGTTTATAATACTCGTTAAATTTTATACATATTACGTTTCTTTTAGTTTCGGCGTGACTTAGTGGTTTGCGTGTCCTGACTGTGAATCCGAGGATTCAAAGTTTATAACTTGGGCTTCTCACTTTGGGATCGTGGGTGCCTTTAAAAGTGACGATCAAATCCTGCTAGTCTATCAGTTTTGAATCCGGTGCGACTATGCGCAGATAGCCATTTTCGTAACTTTGCGCAAACATTTTGAAACATAAGAGAAAATCAAGTGATATTGTTGAGATACGAACAGAAACAGATTACTAACCAATGTCTGTGTAGCCTCCCCAGGTTCCAAACTGTGCTTGTCGTCCGAGTTTTCTAATGGTATCAATGTAAGCCTTTGATGCTTCCACTGACCCTAAAGAGAAAAAAATATCATACTACACATGATGTTGTTACAGATGTAACACTGAGTTACACTGTACTTTCGCTATCCGCACACATAAGATATACACATACACTTACATAGTACAAACGTGTAACAAAATTTGTCCAAGAGATACCTGATGAAGTCAGTTAGTTGATCGAGAATGTTAAAAGTTATATGTTACTGAAGTTCGAGAAATGTGCCGTTTCACTGAATATACGTTTTATTAAAGCGATTTTGAATATGCAACTTAACCTGTCACGTGAAAAACACAGCTGATATAAAGTTGAAGTAGAAGGACATGTATCAGAACTACATTTTGGTGTCTTATAAGTATTGCGATATCACTAAAAATTGGTCGTTTTTTGAAAGTGTATGTAACAGCCATTTCCGATACAAAATATTCACACACTCACATCATAAAGATGCATTCAGATCGGGGATTAACAATTTCCAATATTGGTATACCCCCCTTTTATTTAATAATATTAGTAAACAAGGGATATTGATCGATTTAGGGCACCAGAACCACCCAGAAAGAGACCTGTAATAAGTCATAACCATAGTTGTGGTAAGCAAAGTGGAGCGTCTTGTAACAGGTGAGAATCCACGAACACAAAAAACCAATGATAAAAGGCGTCCACCTGGTCCAGGTAAGAGTACACAGGTAGTCAGGAAGAATATCTGTCCGGAGAAACGACATGTCATCCACGACATATCAGTTCAAACGTTGCATATCTCAAGCAGCTGGAGAATAAAACGGGTATTCATAACAAGAAACACACCAATCAAGTCGCCGGACGAAACGCTTATGGATTTCTATGCCATCAGACTGTTGAAGAGGGCGCTGTAAACCATCATTCACTAAATGAAATACGGAAAGCCAACAGGAAGTAGTGGCTTGCTTTGAACATGATAGCTTTACGACGAAGACTTTTGCAATAGAAACTATGCTGAAGGGCTATTGCCCTGAAGTACAGTCGTCAGGGGCGTGGCGACATGGACTGTTACGACGTGGTGAGGTTCTGAAACCATTTAAGTATAACGTACTCAACTTCTGTAGTCTCGGTTCAGTGAGAGTAAAAATTTCACTGCAACTGAACTTCAAAATTATGTTAGCTAAATTCTTAGAAATACGTCGGACGATATTTGTGTTACATAGTTTAAAATGAGAAATATCACCTACACATTTGATCCCACTCACAATGAGCTAATATTGCCATTGGACTCTACTGGTGGAATTCTCAGACAGAAAAAACAAAACAGAAAAACTCTGTCTGGTTCATGACTTCCAAGAAATGTGTGTGTGCATGGGAAAGTTTTGTTCCTTCTTCGTTAATAGTACACTTGCCCCCCAGTGGCACAGCGGTATGTCTGCGGACTTATAACGCTAGAATCCGGGTTTCGACACCCGTGGTGGGCAGAGCACAGATAGCCCTTGCGTGGCTTTGTGCATAATTAAAAACAAACAACAATAGTACACTTAATAAAAAACATCACCAGGAATTCCTGAAAGAACCAACCAAGGATATTGACTTTCTCCATGAGTTAGTGTGGAATCATGTAAAACGTTTAATAGTCTCGATTCAAAAGAATAACGTGGTTGAATGTTTCATAGTTGTTACAACAACTTTTCTAAACTCATACCTTGCAACATCAAACCTTAAAATAAGTTTGTTTATTGTTCACCCCATTGAGCCATCTGGGGAGGTGTAATAAAAGATAAATATAGAGCTCAAGCTATCGTTCAGTTCACACTTTCCTTCTGAGTCACATCACGTGACTTTTCCGTTTCTTGAGTTCATTTTAATACAGATACATTGCAAGAGATCGTTCACGGAAAGATGGTGGTTGCAACAAGCGCCCCTGGTGGTTCAGCGCATGGTTAAGAAAACAAACACTGATTCTTCTGTTACGTTTGGAGCGTTCTACTTCAGGTGGGCATTCTATAAGTAGAGTTTTAGCAGAAGTTTCAAAACTGTTGCCTCCAGATCAGTCTGAAACTCTAAATTCCTCATTATTGAAAGACAAAAGTTTAAAAACGTTGCTACTTGAACTGCTTGATATTTCCTTTTCCTTTGCCGAAGTTTCGCACCTTGATATTCGCAATCAATACAATCTGTGAATAGCTAGCTTCTGCATTCAAGGGACCCAGACTTTCTAAAGCAAACATAAGAGAAATGGTTCACTTCAATAGACGGTCGATCCATAAAACATTTCTATTCGCTTCGTTAAAACGTAAACACATTTATGTATGGTTTTTTCCCCAACTTTTAAGCGACTGTTTGAACTTTACAATCACTAGCAGAATAACGAGACGGAATACGTTGGTTTTGACTACGAAACGTAAGAACCGAAGCTGACAAAAGATTTTGTACAGTTCCTAGTAAGGTTCTTTACTATTCTAAAACTAACTTGGGTTCTTGCTGAGTTCATTACAGCAGTAACTTTTCAAACGGTAGTAACTCTATCGTGTAAATTACAACTCATTATCCCAATCTCCTTTTATCAATAGTGCCTAAATTGTAACTCTATGTAACTAACTATACAATAAAATAAACTAATATAGTGTAACTCAGTGTTACATCTGTAACAGCATCATGTAAATTAAAACTTAGTACTAAAGTTCAAACAATCCATAACTTAGTTTGTAAAAGCTACATGCACTTGTCGTCCCTAATTTTG